CATCCCAAGGGGCAGTCCCTGCCCCCAGCCCCCCTCCCCCTGCCCCCCTCTCCCTGCTCCAGCCCCCCATTCCCGTCCATCCAGCTGTTTGCTCTGCTCCCACTGGGAGGGTTTGGATCTGCAGGGCACAGGCAGAGCAATTCCAGGGATGGGGCAGCCACAGCAACCCCCTGGATTGCCAGGATCTCCCCACCCTCCCAGGGAAAAATCCCCTCCCAGGATCCCATCTCCCCCTGCCCTCTGGCAGCGGGAAGCCAATCCCTGTGTCCTTGTCCCAAACCCCTCTCCATCCCTCCTGGAGGCCCTTCATGCCCTGGGAGGGTCTCCAGGGCGTCCCTCACGCCTCTCCCCTCTGTTACCCCGCAGGACATCCGGAACACGGTGGGAAACATCCCCATGGAGTGGTACCAGGACTTCCCCCACATCGGCTACAACCTGGACGGCAAGAAGATCTACAAGCCCATCCGGAACAAGGACGAGCTGGACATGTTCCTGGAGAAGATGGAGAACCCAGAGTACTGGTGAGACCCTCGGGGGAGCGTCCAAGGCCAGGCTGGACGGGGCTGGGAGCAGCCTGGGACGGCAGGAGGTGTCCCTGCCCACGGCAGGGGGTGGGACTGGATGATCCCCAAGTCCCCTCCATCCCAAACCCTTCCACGGGGGCTGTGCCTGTGCAGGGTGGGGCACCCTCTCCACGTGGGGTGTGTGAGCACAGCAGGGCTGGAAACCACCCCCCAGTTCCCTGGAGCGTCGCCTGGAGACCCCCAGGATCTCCTGGGGTGACCCCAGCGGTGTGGCTGTGGGGGCTGAGGGGGTCCTGGCCATCCCAGACCCCCCCCATCCCATCCCATCCCCTGTGCCGCTCCCACCAGGAGGACGGTGCAGGACAAGATGACGGGGGCGGATGTGACGCTGACGGACGAGCAGGTGGAGCTGGTGCAGCGGCTGCAGAAGGGGCAGTTTGGGGACGTCAACTTTGACCCCTACGAGGTGAGGCCGTGGCTGCTCCCCCTCTGGGGATGGGGCAGGGGGTTCTCCCAGCCCCCTCACCGTTCCGTGTCCCCCCCCAGCCGGCCGTCGACTTCTTCACGCACGAGGTGATGATCCACCCGGTGACCAACCGCCCCGCCGACAAGAGGAGCTTCATCCCCTCCCTCATCGAGAAGGAGAAGGTGAGGGAAAGTCCTGCCTTCCCAATCCCATCCCCACATCCCACCCTGCTCCTCGTTCCCCACCCCTCGGAGCTGCTGGAGCTGCTGGGGCTGCTGGAGCCGCTGACCCCACCCTGCCCTGCCCCACAGGTGTCCAAGCTGGTCCACGCCATCAAGATGGGCTGGATCAAACCCCGCAAGCCCAAGGACGACACCCCCACCTACTACGACCTGTGGGCCCACGAGGACCCCAACTCCATCCTGGGCCGCCACAAGATGCACGTGCCGGCCCCCAAGCTGAGGCTGCCCGGGCACGAGGAGTCCTACAACCCCCCCCCAGAGTACCTGCTCAGCGAGGAGGAGGTGAGGGGGCCCCCCCAACCCCCCCAGAGCCGCTGGGAAAGGGCTGGGAGCGCGGGAAGCTCCGTGGGGGTTGGGACGTGACAGGGGCAGGGGAAGGGCTGAGCCTTGGAGGGGCATCTGGGGGGTCAGACCTGCCCTGGGGAGGGGGGGCCTCGCAGGGGAGGTCAAAGCAAAGGTGATTTCCCAGAGAAGCTGTGGCTGCCCCATCCCTGGAAGTGTCCAAGGCCAGGTTGGAGCCACCTGGGATAGTGGGAGGTGTCCCTGCCCGTGGCACGGGGTGGGACTGGATGATCCTCGAGGTCCATTCCAACCAAAACCGTTCCATGATTCCATCACTCAGCATCCTTGGATTAAAGAGCAACTTGGGGCCACATCCCAGGGACCAGGGTGGCCCTGCCAGAGCCCCCCCAGGCTGCGTGGGGATATCCTGGCGTGGGATTTGTCCTGGTGCATCCAGAGGCACATTCAGCCCAGGGGCTTGGGATTAAACAGGCAGTGAAAAATCCTGGTGGGCTGAGGGGGGTGGAGAGATCCTGGTGGGATGAGGGGGGTGGAAAGATTCAGGTGGGCTGAGGAGGGTGAGAACCCCCCGTGGGCTGGTGAGAACCTCCAGGCTGGCTCCTCCTGGGCTCTGGGGGGGCCGTGAGGGGGGTCCTGCCGGGCCCTGAGCGTGCCCCCCTCCCCGCAGAGGTTGGCCTGGGAGCAGCAGGAGCCCGGGGAGCGGCGT